GCTGGGTTCTCCCAGCCACAGCAAGAGTGGACGCTGTGGCCGTTTAAAAAACCCAAAACAAAACATGCCGGGGTTCCCATGGGACTGGCTTGCATGGCGATGAATCACTGCAAGGCCCTAGTGGCAAAACCAAAGGCGATTTCCTTTGTCACTAGGATACGCTCCTCTACAAATCAGGTTACTGCTTGGTTTATGAATAAATTAGCAGGTAAGAGTCTCTCTCTCCCTCTTCCTGCCTTGAGGGAGAACTGATGCTTTGGAGGTTAACACTTGAAGGCAGTGAGATGGGGAGCAGGGAACATGAAAGTTTCATCACCTGGTCTCAACAGGGACTGAGATTAGCCTGGGGACATTACTGTGATTTTTTTAAAATTACCAGCTATATATAGTTACATTTGTGTCATGAGACTGATTTAAAGGGACCCCCCAAAAAAAGAAAAATCAAGGCAACTTCCAGTGTCCCTAATTCACCCCCTGAGCATCGGAGCAGGTATAAGCACAGAATTCCGGCCCTAATGAAGTGTGCTGAGGCTAAAGCAATGGTAAGATTTCTGCAATTCCTAGCTTGTCTCTAAGTTACAGCCTTTGCCACATTAACAAGGGACTCTGGAAGGAGAATTAAGTGTAGCTGGGATTTCTCCAGCCAGGGCGACCACCAAGATCACCAGTCTACAAGCCAGCTGGCTCCGAGTTCTGGCAATGGGATGCACAGTCTCTTGTCTCTGGGTCACTGGTTTAAAATCAGAAGCAGCCAAGAACTGTTGCTAGCTGGCAGCTGTTTGGTGGCCCCAAAGTTTCACGAATTGGAGGCCTCAGCCTGCTTCCTGATTCAGCCAGTGATTTCAGTTTAGTATCCATTTATTGAGTGATAGTAGGTTTGCGCAATGTTTGTGTGTATGTGTGCGCGCACACAATTTATATATCCATTGTATGTTAATCAGAGTGAATTTGTAAGACTATAAAAGTATAAAATTCATCAGCATTTAGACTCAGAGGAACTATGTATAGACATGAGACAACAAGCTGAAATGCAAGATACTGTGGGCTGAGGGCCTATAAGATGTTAGTTTAGCTATTTTAGGCCTTGGAGACAAGAATGATGGTGTAAGTTAATGACAGAGAAATAACCCAAAATATTAGAGGAAGAGGTACCCACTGGTAATATTGCAGAAGGATAGCTAGAAGATTTCAAATTATAAAATGCTGTAACAAACACGGTTTCTAACACGTGCAAGACAAAGGCGGCAAGAACCTACTCAGCATTTGGGGTCCCTTGTGTTTCCAGGGGACAGACTAATACAAGAAAGTGTCCTCCCTCTTATGTTCACGCACAGAATGTAGGTACAGGTAGACTCAGTATACAAAAAAAGGGGTGTGCACGCCCAGA